GTCACATGCCGCTCACGACAGTTCAGCTGGCTTCTAGCAGGGTGAGTAATCCAAGAGAGAGCAAGAAAGAAGCTGCAACCTAGCCTTGGAGGTGAAACGCCATCACTTCCGGTGTGAACTACCAGTGACACAGACCGACCTTGGTAGAATGTGGAGGCTGACCAGACATGGGCAGGAATACCAGAGGGTGGGGAGTCTTTGTGGATATCCTGAGTCTACTCCAGGGAGAAAGGGACATTAGAAATTTTCATGACACCCCACAAGGAATGAGAGTAAAACCGAGCTAATGCTCATGGGTGTTACCTTCCCAGCTTACAGTTCGCCATATGGCTGACACTGGCCAGTCTTTCTCTTCTTTTAAGGACACTGGTCCCACCAGGAGGGCTCTGCCCTCATCAAAATCTACTTATTTCTCAAAGGCCTTATCTCCAGATAGCCTCATGTTACGGGTGTGTTCAATGTATTAACTTTAGGGGGGACGCAAACATGCCGTCTGTAACCATCACAGTCCCGGTGCTGGAGGTGCCCTGCCTCCCTCCGCATCCACCTGCGCCTCCTCTTCCAAGATCCTGTGTGTGCGTCGTAGTAGGTGGACTTGCCCGGGGTTTCTCTAGGGAAAGGGTAGTTGCTTTATCAATTTAGTTTTCAAAAATCCTTGTTAGTTTTCTATAATAGTGATTAGCATATGAGTTTATACTTAATTTCTGATGTCTTTAAGGGTGATCTTTTTGATAGAGAAAGTTCTTTTGTCTTTGTATTTACACCCTCTTGGACCAACCTAATACACTGTGTCATCCCTAACTGGTCCTTCTGTGATTCCCGGTTACGCGAATGAACATGGGTGGATGGAAAGATGGATGAATGTTTGAGCCCAAGACATGTTTATTTTAAAATCAGGGTTTTATATTAAATGACTATTAATTCTTCCCTAATACTTTGTGGTTAAAAAATTTAGAGATAGGGCCTCCATGTGATAATGAGATAGAACTGGAAAACAAAAGGAAATGAAACAAAAAAGCAAGTAAGTTGGAGGCTTCTTAAAAATTGGGCAAAGTGGCAGAATAAGAGTAGAGAGAACGTATGTAATGTTTGTGGGTTATAAATACTTCTTTTGCTCTTAATTTTCCTTTGTAACAATTCAACTCTGACCTGTAATTTTCTTTAATCTTTTTTGACTAACAGGACTTTGCAGAATATGTACATGTTTAATCTTTCATTTAAAATTTAAATTATATTCATATTTTAACTAGAGCCAACTTTCTAATTTCAACTCAATATGTCCCTTTTAGGAAATAGTGATATACAGAATTGCAAAAAAAAAATAGTATATAAATATTGCAACTAACTCCCCATATCGCCCCAATCTCTTATCACTCCCAGTCACCTCCAAGTTTCTTGGCTGCTTAGCATGCTGCAGGGCCAGCATAAAAGGAGGGATTGTTTAGACGCCATGCTCACTGTCCTAGTCCTGGACGCTTCCGCTGCTCTTGGAAGCAGAGAGGTTGCTTGAGATATGAATCTTCCCCTTGGCTGGGTTGGTAGAACTGATGACTGTCCTCTGCAGGAGAGAGACCTGCGTTTGAAACGTACAGGCCAGCATGTGCTCACTCACTGGACCAATATCCAATGTCTGCTTTATGTCAGATGTGTAGGTCATGTGTCATTGCACAACAACCAGCCACAAATGTCAGCATTTATTACATTTGTGTTCATTTTGAAGCCCAGACTGAAGAGACAGAACCCATCCAGGACACTGTCTTCTTGGTAATGAGAACAGCAAAAGAGGCGAACAAACTGTACAAAACATCCCATTGCCCAATGGGGCACATTGCCAGGCCCAAGTCCAGGGGGCAGGGGGACAGGGTAGAGGGGTACGCACTCATGGGAGGAACTGCAAAACTGTGTGAGCAAGCGGGAATAATATTTGGAGCCAATAATTCCATCTGCTCAGCCAGCCATTATTGGGACATTCTCTGGAAGTCTAGGTGAGAACTTGCTTGGTATTCTGGTCCCAGGATATAGTCGCACCCAGAACTTCCTTTGGAAGTGCCAACATGCCCAAGAGAAGCTTTGAGATGTGCTTTCCACGTTCTACTATCTGCATTCACTGTTCACTTCCTGGTGGTAATGACGTAATCTTTATATACAAATATTTATATCCACTACTTGGTCCTGTGAAAGGGCTCTCTCATTGTATTGTCATGTATGCTATATATGCACCATATGTAGAGTGTTTCCATATCTATTGAAAGAGTTTTTACTCATAACTCCTATTTAATTCCAACACTCTTGGATTCATTCTAGGCCTCTTCCATATTATATCTCTCTTCTCTTTTGGTGGGAACACTGATTGCTATTGATTACAGTATATTTTTTTATTTGCTCAGTTCTCAAAAGCGCACTACATGGATTCAGAATTGGTAACTCATGCTACTCGTGTAACCAGATCTAAGCAGTACGGCGGGCAGTGGTGCTCAGCCTCATCCCCAGGCTGGGCTGCCTGAGAGGGGGAGGCAGCACTGCCCCCGAGGAGGGGGCCTGAGAGCCAGCGGGGGTCTGTGGGTGTTGTGTGTGTCATAGATCAGTGCCTGGGGGTTTGGCCAGGCTCCTGCTGGAACCAGTGTGAACGCTGGCCATTGGTGACCATGCCAGTGCCGGAGGCACAGGTGAGAGTGACTGTCCCCCGTAGGGACATGGTCAGTGAGGGCTCCTGAGTCACCACAGCCTGAGAATTGGACCCTGAAGCAAAAAGACGGACACACTTTAGGAATGAGGAACCAGAGCAGAGGGAACCCCCAAAGGCTGGGAGCTCTGCTGAGCTGATGAATGACAGCTCCCAGGCATGATTCCCTCCCAGCCTGAGAGTTCTGTGCCCTCTTCATTGGGGTGGTGGCCCTGCGGCACTCCGCAAGGTGTACAGACGTGAGAGGGCGGTTCCCTTCTCACCTAAGTGCCACCCGAATGAAGTTCCCTGTGTGTTACTGCCAGCTCTCTCTCTCTTTTTTTTTTTGTACTTTTTGACCTTTTCCTTGATCGACCTGTAGTCCTCCAACTCAGTACTCCTGTCACTCAGTACAGCCTGCACTCAAGGAAGGGGATCTCCGCGAGGGAGCCGAGGGAGGAGCAGGAGGAGGGGAGCCCCCCCAGCCCCGCGCCGCAGGTGCCCCGAGGCTCAGAAGGCTCCTCAGCTGACGCTCACTGCTCTGCTGGCACCTCGATTCCCTCCTGAGCGCCCTGGCTGAGGGGCGTGCGGGGTGCATCATGTATGCTGGCTGCCTTTACTGCTCCCCCAGTTGTGTGCCCAGCGCAGAAGGCAGCTCTCCTGCCCAGAGACTGGTTTGCTCGGTGGTGCAGCTTCGACGTGACGAAACAACCCCAGCTCGGGGTAAACCGCATGTGCAGCCTAACCACAGGGCAGCGGGAGTCAGCAGCGCAGCCAAGTGTTGGAGTTTGTCTTCCTTCACTCCTCATACCCCTCTAGGCCCTAAATTTACAAGAAAAAAAGATGAACAAGTTGTAAAAATCAGCCTCAGGAGAAGAGAGAGAGGGAGACAGGCAGCGGGGCTGCAGACACCTAGATGGGGCTCAGCAGCAGGAGAGAGCGGGCTCCGCGGCGCAGCACCCGCCTGCCTCACCGCAGGAGTGCGGCGGCCTGCTTGGGCTTCGGCGCCTCCTCCTGGCGCCTTTCTGATCTGAGCGGCTGCTAGCGCTCTGGAGTGGTCGCAGTGGGAAGCGGAGGTGCACACACGTTATAAAAGGGAGGCATCAGCATTTCACAGTGTGAATCAGAAGTAATGAAACTGAACATCAAGACGTAAGTGTGATCTTCTCGAAGAGAAAAGGAAGAATAACGGTAGCAAACTATTAAAAGAATTTGTTGCACCAAAAGACTGGCAGCGGCCTTGTGTCCTGCGTATCCTGCTCCCCAGCCTCCTCGAATCTTTGCGGGTATCTTAGCTATAGGTCCATTGACCACATCATTTAGAATCCTGTCTGCATGTCATTCCTTATTCCCATTCTGTGCTTTATTTTTGTCCACAGCCCTTGTCACCTTCTAACGTACTACACCATTTATTCTTTATCTTTCTGGTCTGCTTCTCCCTCTTAGAAGTTACTCTCCATGAGGCTATTTGTCTGCATCCTCAGCACCTAGAGGGTGACCCAGCTATAGGAGACACTAAAAAAATACTTGTTAAACTAGATCAATAAATGAAGAAGTACAAGAGTTTTGGGAATTAAGGATAAGGAATCAACCTACAGATTTATTAAAGAAACAAGGGCATAAAGTCAAAAGGAGAAGAGAGGAAGGGAGGAAGCAAGGGGGGAAAAACATGAAGAACGAATAAAAAGCATGTTCACAGCGACCTGGACCTAAAACGATAAACGCTGTGTGTGCACCGAGGGTGCTGCGGCCGTGCCCCGGGGGCGGGGCCTGCTCAGGGCCTTCGTCCTCAGTTGCGGGCGGGCTGTCAGCAGGGGCCGCCCGCGTCTGAAGGCTTGGCTGGAGCGGCAGGATCTGCTTCCACATGGCTGCTGGGAGGCCCTGGCCCCTTAGCATGTGGCCTGCTCTACGGGGTCCCATCAGGCAGAGCATGTCGGAGCCCCCAGGACACACCATCCAGGGGAAAGCAAGAGAGAGCCACCAAGACAAGACAGGCCACTCGCCTTTTCTAAGCTAGTCTCAGAGGTGACGTCACTTCCTGTTCTGCCCCTCCGAATGCCGTTGTTACATGGGCAGCTTACGGATGGCCCCTGCGTAGTCTATCTACTTCGCAGCAGCCTGCGGCCATTAGCAAAGCCCTTCTGCACTGAAACCAAATTTTTACACATCCTGCTGCTTTAAATATAGACCGAGTAAGCATACATTTAGCCACGTACAGACTGCCTGCTTTGCATACCCCGGAAACCGCACTCAGTACCTGCTGAGCCATCAAAAAGAAAAATCCTTGGGCTCTAAAAGACCCCCAACTGCTGCTGCCCATTGGAGCTGTCTGACCCAGAGATTCCCGGCTGAGCCGATGAATGACAGCTCCCAGGCATGATTCCCTCCCAGCCTGAGAGTTCTGTGCCCTCTTCATTGGGGTGGTGGCCCTGCGGCACTCCGCAAGGTGTACAGACGTGAGAGGGTGGTTCCCTTCTCACCTAAGTGCCACCCGAATGAAGTTCCCTGTGTGTTACTGCCAGCTCTCTCTCTGTCTCTTTTTTTTTTGTACTTTTTGACCTTTTCCTTGATCGACCTGTAGTCCTCCAACTCAGTACTCCTGTCACTCAGTACAGCCTGCACTCAAGGAAGGGGATCTCACAGGGCATAAACCCCAGGACGTGGGGGTTACTGCTGTTTTGGTGATGGTTTACCACAGTCCCTCTCACATACCAGACACATTACCCAGGCCTTGTATTCAACTCTGCACACATGAAAAAGAAATACACAGGAGTAGACGGTGAGACTGAGCCCGGAGGTTTGTGTCTCACTTCCCCACCCGGCCTGTCACTGTGGAAATGGTTGCTGAGCCACAGAGCGCAGAAATACTCAGCCTCGTCCTCGGGCTGGGCCTCCGTGATGCTGAGGGCGGCTGTGTTTCCAAGCAGGGAGCTGGAGAACCAGACAGGGACCCCTGGGACCCATGTGCTAGTGGCACCTATTAGACCCTGGGGTGCCTGGTATGGCTTCTTTTGGAACCAGTTGGCATAGTTACTGGTGGTGATGGCCCCAGCGCTGGAGCCACAGGTTAGTATGACCGTTCCTCCAGGACTAGTGGTCAGTGAGGTTTCCTGAGTCACCACAGCCTGAGAAATGGTCCCTGAAAGCAAGCGAGACATCACGGTCAGGAGAGGGGCCAGGGACTCAGTGTGGCCTCTCCCACCTGCCAGCCCCCACCCCTCCCAGTGCCGAGGGTCCCCCTGACCTGTGCAGTGAGCCACAAGTATGAGCAGGAGGGGCGCCCGGGCCATGGCGCAGATACCCCAGGGCTGTGCTTCTCAAGACTTGGTGCACAGAGTCCCCCTGCACAGCTCTCGTGATAACTCCTGCCACCTGCAGGGGCGGGGGTTCATGCAAACGAGCTGCCTCCCAGGAGTGCCCAGCCGTGTGGCCAGGTCACAGCTGCTGGGCTGTTCCACGTCAGCGAGCACGTGGCAGTGGGACCCTGGACACACAGTTCACACACAGCAGCCTCCACGATGAGTAGAAGAATCAAGGTACTGGGTTCTCCTAATGTCTCAACTTAGGTTCCCCTTAAATCCAGCTACTATTATGTATATCTAGCTTCATGACTTGATAACTGTCCCATGGCCAGAAGCTTGATCTCTTCCGGGGCCCAGGAACATTTCAGACCCATCTTTTGAATGGTTTATAATTCCCTACTGCTTCAGAACCCTAAGAGATTACAATTATCCTATTAGTGCTTGCCAAATATTCCACATGTTTTTTATTCTTCTATTTTTCTCATGGCATGTAGTTCTAGTAAGACAGGGTCATGTGTCTCTGTAATGGCGAGAGTGTGTGCCTCTTAAAGACATTGCAGGCCACTTGTTCTTGATTCTTCAAACCTAGTATCTTTGAGGGTCATGTGAAAAGAGGTTATAATAGTTTTTACAGATGTGCAACATGTACTTCCAGAACCAGAGAAGGTCTACCACAGTGTTGTGATTTCTTCTTGGGAATGAAAATTGTGAGGCAGAATAATTTGTTTTTTATTTTTAATGGCATCCAAAAATGTCACAGACTGGGGAATTCCCTAAACGAGCGGACTCACTGGTGAGATGGGCCCCTGATGCTTTATAGGGTGTGCCCCCATCCTCTGGAGTCCTTCCCAAGTACTGCCTACCTCTTCCTCGTCTTGTTTAAATAAATCGATGTAATGTATCCCTGTATCGATGTAATGATGTTCTGTAGAACGTGCAGGTGGTCCAGTTTACTTGGGGATATGTCAGCTGAGAGAAAGAGTAAAAATAGTTTTGGGGCAACACTTAACGTGTGCTGTGTCCATTGCACTCAAGTGTGAATGGTGTCTGACACCCCTGAGCAGTACGGACAGTATGCACTCACCAGATTTATGATTGTACCATTAACTGAAACAGTGTCAACGTGCCCTAGAAACAGACCACATCAAGAACAGAGCAGCAGTTGGGGTGCCACTCGTCTGGATTCAAACAGTTCACATTCATCTGGCAGGACGCGTCTGTTTGGGGGACTGTTGGTTCTTTGTTCAGAGGCCAGATTGATGACTTGGATGAGGGACTCCCGGTGGAGACAGGTGCCACCAGCACTGCTGCATCATCACTGCCACCACTGATCTCCGCTGTTTTCCCACGATAGTGTTATTTTTAAATTTCTATCTTGAAGAAAATGGAGCAAGGCATGGTTCCAGAGGCTTTCTCTTGGCCTTCTCAACTGCCAGTTCTGATTTCTGGGCTTACTTTCCCAGGCCAGTAAGTAAGTGTGGAGATTCTGCCAACAGTTATGGGAATATGTGCGTGGGGTGGTTCTGTGGGCCCAACAGATCTTCTGTGAGCGGCACTGTTAGTAGACATGGCGATGCTCTTGGTTCCTGAGTATTAATGCCACTTGAATCATGTGTTCAACAATACAAAAATATCTGGGTGTTTCTTTTTCCACAGCATACTGTCCATTAAATGACTATAGGTCACTTTGGGGTAGTCCGAGGGGAATCTTTACCATATACATTGCTCAAGTGGTGCCTTCTTCATAGGATCCTATCCTAAATTTCAGTTAAAAATTTCTAGGTATGAAAACTGGTTTGAGTCAAAAAACTGGGCAATAGATCATAATCTTTTACTAGGGTGGCTGCACTCAGTCCCTTGTACATCCTCTTCTACCCTTTGGTTGTAGATGTGGGTATTCTTGTGATGACTCTGCCTTGTCCCTGGAACACTGCTCTAGCAGCCACGCCTGCAGCATTCTGGGCTCATCCTCTCTGAGTGCTGTGCTTTGACGTAATTTTATCCACCTTTCTAATACTAAGAGGCTTTTCTGCCCTCTGATTTTTAAGAATCGTATAGTTCCTGTTGTTATCAGAACGGCTCAGTCATGACATGTCCTACAGTGGGCCCTATTCAACCAAGAACTACATGACTGAGCTCTGAGACTGGTGGGAACAGAGGAGCTAATACTGTTTGTACTTTGAGTACACTTGTGAAAGACTTAACATCCTGGAAACTCAAAATCCATTAGGGAACAGGTGACTGGCAACAACTACACCTGTCCATGTTGCAGGAAGTGGCTGAGAAAGTATCTTGCAACACATGTTAGTGTTTGCTATGGACCAAGACTGGGGTGGGCATGCAAAGATAGACCATTCTCACTGGACAGGTGCTGAATTACCAAAATATCTGGGAAGGTGAAAACTCTCAAGGCAGGGTTAGGAGGCCGAGCTATGGAGCCAGTGGGAGGATACAGGCCAGGACAGATCAGACATGAAGTGTCCACCCCCTGCTTGTGTCACTGTGGATAGGAATAGCTGCTCCCATGGTCGCTCCACTGTTGAGTCGTTCTCAGCATCTTCTTGGATGTTCTGAAAGGTCAGGTGCCAATCTAGGTTAGAGCCAGGACCTTAAGGAGGAAAAGTCCTAGAAACAGTACACCGGAGGGGGGAGGGGAGGCAAGGGAGGAGGATTCTGCCTGAAGAGGAGGCCTCTGTACCTCGCACTCACGGACTGTGCGTTTCTTCTTTAATCAAAACTTGAGTTCATTGTCAGAGATTTCTCTTTGGTTCTTCTCTGCACATTGCTTCCCTCTCATGCCATTCTTACAGATTCAGAGGTGCAGAATCCCAGGCCCCACTCCAGACCTAGTGAATCAGAATCCAATGTTTACAAGACCCCAGAGGATTCATATGCACATTGAAGTTTCAGAATAACTCATCTAACACATGCAGGAAGGCCATTTTGTTTTTGGTTATGAATTGTTTCTCATGTCTCAATCTATTCTGCTTCCAACCAACCTGTCTAGCAAATTAACTTGCCATTTCATCATTTTCTACATTTTATGTAAAAAATAATGTTATGCAGGGCTGCCCATTGAAAATGGCAGATCTCCCTAAGGAATCCACAAAGAAAAATCTAGAACTAATAAATTAGCAATATCACAGGACACAAGAGCAATATTATACAAAGTCAATTATATTTCCATCTTGTACAAACTACCCAAAGAAAAAATTAAGAAAACAATTCAACTTAAAATCAAAAGGAACAAAATTCTTAGGATTAAATTTATCAAAAGTAATGTCAGATATATATACTGAAAACAACAACAAAAATAAGAAGAAGATGGCAGATATTTTCCTTTTACCTCCAGATCTAGAAGTGTACTAATAAGAACCAGATGATCTTCCCATCTTTACTGATACTAGTAAACAATTGGAAATAGCTAATAGCTACCTATATTCTTATTTTTAAAGTAATATTAAGCAGCAGTTATATATTTATATACTTCTATACTTCTAAGGATAAATTACTTATATTAACTTTTAATGACAATAGTGTATGATATATGAGCATAAATATGAAATATGAGCAAAACTGTTACCACGATTGTGTAAAAATTAAGAACCAATTAGGAAGAAACTGTTCAAATTCAGAAATATAGTTATATTGATTGTTTGATATATTAGGTTTCTAGGGCTATTGGAACAAGGTAATACAAACAGGGCTGCTCAAACAATAAAAAGTCATTGTCTCCCAGGTCTCGAGGCTCACTGTCCCAAATCATAGGGCAGGCCCAGGTTTGCCTCTGAAACCTGCAGGGGATTCCTTCCTGCCTCTTCATGACTGCTAGTGGTTTGAGGGTAATTTCTGGTGTTCCTTGTCTCCAGCAACATGGGTGCATCTCTGCTTCCATCCTCACTTGCTGCTCTCATTGTCCGCACATGGCTTCTTCCTGTAAGGACGCCGGTCGTGGTGGCTTCGGAGGCCAAGTACTCCAGCTTAGCCTCATCTGCACTGATTATATCTGCAATGACCCTGTTTTCCAATCAGGTCACATTCTTCGGTCCTGGGCATTAGAACATGTCTGCTTAGGGGGAAACAGTTTAACCCAGAATATTAGGGAGGAAGAATCCTTTCCAAAAGTGTTTATAACTTTTAATATATATATTTTCAAAAAGTATTCAATATGCTTGCATTGCATTAAAATGAAACCTAATAATATAAGCTTTAGAAATATACAAAATGTGGGTTTTTCACCCTTTGTTCTTGGCTGGCAAAGGACATTGAAAAAATACTTTTTTGGGGAAGGAAATGTGTTTGGCCCCAAGCCTTAATTCAGATTCAGCAGAAGCTATTCTTTCTCTAATAGAAAACAGGTAAACTCTGCTTTTTATGGATGAGTTCCTCCAAAGTCATTCATGAATTTCCTCCACTTTAGGACTCAAATAGGAATGGGAATTAATTCAGACCCTTCCCTTCACCTTCTCTCTATAGGTGGCCAACATTCAGGCTCCCCTGAGAGCTCAGGTGTCTGCTCATGTGATGTCAGTGTCACACCATCGTGCTTATACCCACACTCAGCCAAGCCAAGGTTTATGTCTTGCTTCCACTTCTCAGTCTGTCACTGGGCTGAGCACCACTCTGTTCTGCCCAGCAGTGGTCCTCAGCCTTGGGTACCCCAGCAGTCCTGGGGCTGGGCCCTGAGGAGCGTCAGAGCAGCTCTGCCCCCAGAGAGGGAGCCTGAGCACTGGGCAGGGGTCCAGGAGTGTTTTTTGCTTGTTTCATAAGTCAGTGCCCTGGGGGTGTGGCCAGGATCCTGCTCTGCCAGTGCAGGGGGCACAGGTGAGAGTGACTGTCCCCCCTGGGGACATGGTCAGTGAGGGCTCCTGAGAACTGGATCCTGAAACAAAAAAATAGACTCTTTTTAGGAATGAGGAGCTAGAGCAGAGGGAACCCGCCAAGGGCTGGGAGCTGCAGTCTCCGCCATCTTGGACGGCGAGGGAGCCGAGGGAGGAGCAGGAGCCCAGGTCACGGTGTGCGCTT